CTCTATTGAAAATAGTGAAATAAGGGTATCACAATGTCAAATAATTGATAAACAACTTTCATTTAATTTTACTCCGACGGTAAGAATCTTAAGTAACTCTAAATAATTTATTATTTTAATATTTTATATAAGAAATAAATATATCCATTAAATAATTAATTACTTTAATTAATAATACACCATCATATTTTAATATAAAAATAATATAAAATACATAATATTTAAATAAATATAATGAAAATCAAATAATACTAGAAAATTTAAAGTATAAAATTAATTTTCATTATTCTCTCCTCCAAATTTTCAGTCAAATATGTTCTACTAAATTGCTTGAAGTTGGTGGTGAGTATTTCTATCTTGAACTAATGTTCTCCTTTGAAAGTATGTAGATATAAAACTATGATAAAAATTTGAAGATATATCAACCGTTGATATGTCATTTTTCCTAATATCATAATCAATATGACTTTGATAAGTTTGTCATTCGTCTTTAATAATCATATTGTGTAATATGATACATGCATACATTATATTCGTTAATGTATGAGCATCGCAAAAATGTGTTGAACCATATATAATTGCAAATCGAGATTGAAGGACTCCAAATGCACGTTCAACATCCTTTCTTAGTGATTATTATCATTGGGCAAATAATTTTCTCTTTTGTCCTTGTGACATTGAAATAGTTTTCACAAATGTGGAAAAATCTTGATAAATATCACCTGCTAAGTAATATCTCATATGTATTCCATTTATAGTGTAATGCACCACATGTGCAAAACCTGACATAACTTCATTAAACACATTAGATGCATTTAACACAGTAATATCATTATTTGACCCTGCAGTACCAACAAAAACATGTCAAATCCACAAGTCTTGTGATGTCACAACTTCAAGAATGATTATTAGGTTAGCATCATCACCTCGATAAAATTGACATTTTCGTGTAATTGGACAACTTTTCCATTCTCAATACATGCAATCAATTTATCCTAACATACCCAGAAAGCCATGTGTGACTCCCATTTGTAGTGGTCGATCAATGTCTTCGTTATTAGGTCTCCTTAAATACTCATTTCCAAATAATGCACAAATGGTCGCATTCTACTGTAGTGCTTTCACCAAGTTGAATATATTTATCCACACTATCAGTAGGTGAGCCATAAGCCAATAGACAATAGCAGCAGTGCACTTTTGCACAGGTGATAAACCTCTTCTTCGAACCTTAGTGTAAAGTAATATTTGTGATTGTCAAGGGCTTCCACAATTTTGACAAAAATCTCCCTTCGCATATGGAACCTTCTTCGAAATTGAGATTCTATATATACTGGATTTTCAACAAAATAGTCATTGAACAATTGATGATGGTCTTCTTCACGATTTTGATGAACTACCCTTCTTCTTTGTCTATCACCACCATTGTTGTTGATTTATTATTGGAACTCAAGTAGTAACCTCATTATTTCTTCATCATTGTTATCTTTGAGTTCTTCATCTATGACTTGATCCAATAATGTGTCTAAATCAATGTTTTCAAATTGCATTGTATGGATATATGAAATGTTTGAAAACAGAGAATAATATTGCAATACCATAAGATGTGAAACATTGCATGACATTCCATAACTACATATAGATTCATAACGACTAGTTTTTATCATAATGACTAATATATTTAAAATCCTTGTGTTTCTCCTAATATAGTTACAATATTTTTTATGATCTTCATATTGCTTCTTAGACATGTCAGTCGTGTCCTTCATGAGGATTTTATACTCCAAACGTATTTCTTGTGACTTCTTTAACTCAACCAATTCATCAAACTTTGTATTTTTTTTCCTTTATTGCATTTTCTATGTCAAATAAATCAATATGGGGAGTAACACTTGCACTGACTTTTCCTTTACTCTTTCTCTTGACTACCTTTTGTCCTATGGGATGAGATATTGGTGATGTTGTGTCACATTCTTCAACTTCATGTGGCATCTCTAGGTTAGAAGATGATGAGTATGCGCTCAAGTAGAAATCTTGCATTTTTTTTGAAGAATCGTCCATAAATGTCAATTGTCATTTTGGTTCATCTCTTAACATACCATTTTTTTTTGTCATTTTTTCCTTTCGAATCTTCTATAAAAATCTTGTATGCGAATGACATAATATCTTTTTTGGCCTAACCACTTTTCCTTTGATTGGTAGCTTATTTTTAGCATGCATTAAATTTTGGAGTTACAAGGTGAAGTTTATTCCATCATGATTTTAATTTACTCATTAACCTCTTTATGAAAACATTATATTCGTCGTTATTGTTGTATGCTTCTTTGATCTACTCTCAATATTGGGATAATGACTTATCAACTCCAACAATTGGATCATTCAACACATTCAACCATGATTGAATTAGAATCATATCCTTTGGTATTGAGAATGTTACACAAAGTTTCTTCTGAGACATATTTTCACCACTTTTATCAAGTTGGATATTATCGAGTCCGATCAAGGAAGAAGGCTCTATGTTAGATGAAAGATAAATGTTATTCATATTTGATGTCATTGGAGGTGGTGTAAATATTAAAAATGTTGGTGGATAAATAAAATTTTAGGAATTTTGAGAATTTTTACCCATAAGAGATGAATAATTTTGCAATAAATTATAATAATATTAGTAATTAAATTGATTAGGATCCATTATTGGAGAAAAAGAAAAATGGTGAAATGAAGGATATGTGAAATTTTTTTACCATTGATGAAGATTTTATAGTATAAAAAAAGTGTAAGACAACTACTACAACAATAAAAAATTGGATGAACGACTATTTTTTTTCCTTAGTAACATATGTATGCAACGACTATTTTCTCCATCTCCTTTCTCCTCTCTCACCTCTCCTTTCTCCATTTTCGTTCTCCATCTCCTTTCTCTCCCATCACCTCTCTTTCTCCATTTAAGTTTTTCTTTCTCAAATCTCCCTGCCCCCGCTCCATCTTTTTCCTTTGCATCTGCTTCCATGTCCACCTCCGCTTCCACGTTCACCTCCATGTCCCCATCACGTCCCCCTCCATGTTTGCCTCCATTGTTCGCCTTCGCTATCTGCATGTAACTTCACCTCTGTATTTGCCTTCGTGTCCCTTTCCTCTTTTGTATCCATTCTCCGTGACAACAATCTATCGTTGTTGTCATTGCATCCGCGATCACTATCGCGACCTCCGTAATTAGTGTAGTTACTGTGATTGGTGGTACGTTTTGTCATTAGTTTTATATTTTTTTATTTTGATTTTGAAACTAGTTATTGTTAATTGATGAATATTATTATTGATGGTTAATAATTTTGTAATTTTTTATTGAGGATGTTTTGAATTAATAAAAAAATTTGAATTAATAAACATGAATTTGTTGCGTTTACTAAAAGATTGATAAACATGATATTAAAATATTAATATTTTATTTAAAAGAATAATTGTTTCACGAATATTTTTCGTTTTTGTATTAGAACAGAACAACTCTAGATATTATCAAATCTTATTCAATGAAATAGTTGTTTAAAGCAACTTGAAAAATTTTAAGAAATAAGCTACATCGATTATTATATAATCTGAATGATTTGACCTAAATTTATATTTTTTACATTAGCTAAGATATAAAAAATTTAAAATAATATATAAAAAATCTTTCATATAATAAAAAATCTACTTCAAAGTATGGTCTAATAAGTTATTTAAGATAGTCATCGATTTTAAAAACTTCAATGCCGAGATTTTATTTTTATTTATTTGATAGTTTTGGTCTGGGTCATGTTTGGTATTTATTTTAAAAACACATTCCTCGCATAAAAATTCATGAAAAAAAAATTATTTACTTTATTTATTTTTAATTTGAAGTTTTTACTTGAATTTGTCTCATATGTCAATGCTAATAATAATAAGGTATATATATATATATATATATATATATATATATATATATATATATATATATATAATAATTTTCAGTATTATTTCTTTTAGTTTGAATCTCAAAGTATTAAACGTTAGTATTTTAATATTTATAATTTAAAGTAGGATTTATGAATAGTTTTCGATTTCAAATCAGCTGTCTAGATAGGTTTTGTTAAAAATCAATCAGAGTTATTAAAAAAAAAACAGTTCAAATTAAAATAATAGATAGGTTTTGTTAAAAATCAATCAGAGTAATTAAAAAAAAACAGTTCAAATTAAAAAATTTTATTTATAATCCAAAATCAAAACGACAATTGAATTTAATTAATATTTTGTTACATTTAAAATTTATTAAACTTAAATTAATTTGAAGTTCTCATGTTTGTGTATCCATTTATAAATTTAATAAGTGAACAAATTATATAAAAGAAAATACTTAATAGTTTTAGTAATTTTAAATTTGGCTAGTAAATATATTTCAACTAACCATATTTTTATATTTTAATATATTTTAAAAATGCTATCTTAAAATAATAAGAAATATTTTGAATTTTTATTCAGAATATTTTTTTAAACAAAACGATATCACACAAATTGAACTATGTTATAACTGCATGAGTAAATTTTTCACATCATAGACAAACTTCAATATAAAATTTGTTTAAACACATATTGCTCCAATCATGTGTAATGATTCAAAATCATTTTATTTAACTTCAAAACAGGCATAGCTGAGTGAAGAGACTTGGTAAGCATGGACATTATTTTTTTCCTGATCATATGCTAAAAAAACTAAAAGAAGCATGATTCATACATGCTATCCTAATATACAGTCTCCTCCAGCCAAGAAGAACCCTCAATTTTGTGGCAATTTTTCTCATAAATTCTGTGTCAAATTTTGAACTGTCTACTTCGTTACTCTGAAATATTCTTCCTTGAGTGTTTCTTATTGAAATTTAAAACAATTACAACAAGCAAAAAGCATTTTAAACTTGGTCTTAGAACAAAATAAAATAAAAAGACAAATGGACCATTTGATCTTCCCTTCACTGGCATAAAGTGAAAATTCAAACTGCATTGTTCATGCTAACAAGAGCTTCCTTATCTGCAAGGACACCAATAACTACATATAAATCTTTATTGAATAACCTTTTGATTTAGCAATATAAACATTTGAAAAATTGAACCAAATTTGAGGATTAATAAGGAGTGCAAGTTAATGAACATGCCTCTGGCAGTTTCTGTCTATAAATGACATCCAACCTTGCATCAAGGGTGTTTTCCAACACAATCTTCCCATCCTCTGAGGCCAACACTACTCCTCCAGAGCTTTATTTAAACAATTAAGAACACAAAACAAATAGTCAAGTCATTTAGAGTTTAATGATTGTGTACACAATCAAATATGCATATTGTTTGATATGATCAAAGATATCACTCATAACTGCTAGTTTAAAGGTAAAATCAAGAAAAGAAGATACCAAAAAGGTTCATGGGAATCCATGGCACCATTCTTAGGTGGTGGTGGGAGGTAAACACGATCATCAAGGGTAACTTTAGGGGCTTGACCATTTAATTTCTCTGAATATTCTTTTCTACATTCCTCTATCAATGACTCAACTAGCTTACGATCACCCTCTCTGCATCTTATTAACACAGATGGTTCCCTCAAGCGTATTAAACCCTGCAGCATGTACAACAAAATTAAGAGTGCTTATTTTTCAAGTAATTAATCACATGCAATCATCAATCATCTTCACGTGTTTTGTGCAAAAGTTAAATTTGGATGAACAAGATGACACCATTGTAGATCACAATGCTTCAAATACCTGAACAATCATGTCTTTGACGAGTTTCTTATATACTTTCTTATCACTTGAGAGACGTAAAAGAGCCTTTCTAGCAGCGTCCTTCATGGAAATCACTGCATCATCTTGTGCTTGATGCACTTTTATTCGGGATGCATTCAATTGTGTTGAGTATTCACTGCTCAAGAGATAAACAAGTTTTTGTAAACATTTTAAATTTTCTATTGTGTATAGTTTATTTGTAATCAATTACTATGAAAACGAAACGCATATATAAGCTTATTACATTTTTCTACGAACTTCAACTTGTTTGGCTTTTCGTTCATACTCTTGCCTGATCTTTTTCTTTTCAGCTTCAAGTAGCTGCAGCTTCTCAATATTGAATTCCTGCAACGAATCAAAGTAATATAATAAATCAAAATTCCTAAGATAAATCACAATCTCACTGATGACATTAAGTATATTGGGTAGCTTTGTGAACAAACGAGGCAATAAATGTTAAAAAATATAAAATGTTCATACTTCTTCAGCAGCAACAGATATTTCATTAGCTTTCTCCTCAGCCTCTTGCCGGATGAACCTGATCATCTGCTGGATCTGCCTTGACACATCTGCATCCTTCATCTTTCCTTTTTCCTTTTGTTTTCAGACTCAACCTGCAAAGATGTGACCAATCTTTTGATCATTTCCCCAACAAAAGAACAAAAATGAGAGAGAAGGAAATGTGGTGTCTTTGTCAATCACCTGTTTGATCAATTGTCTTCTCCAAACCCAGTTGCAGAAAGGGAAATGGAAGTGTTGCAAAAATATGATTCCTTATGAACCAATTGCAAGGTTTTATTTAATGCATGCAACTATGTTTTAGTTTAGTATGTGTTATGATAACACCATTAGAGCATTGATTTCGGTCTGTTGAGGAATTGGATCTTGAACAATTTTATCCTATTTTTGGAAATTTGAACAAGCAAATCAAGGATAAAAGAGTTTGAAAAGACCAATGAGTAATTAACTCAACAAAAGAGATTATGGTTTAGGTTACCTCTTTCTTAGTCTTACTTTCCTAAATGGGATGCGCTTAACAATTTTGTCAATGATAGCGTGAATCATTCAACTCCAATGGCTTTTGCTATCAATGCCTACTTTTACAGAGAGTAACCATAAGGTTGGTATTAAGAATTTTGGTCAATATAAAAAAATAATAAGTAGGAAAATAGATTTTCAAATCGAAGGATCGAATTTCAATAAATTATTGTAATGTTTAAGTTAGAGAACGTTTGGTTGTTTATTTTTGTAAAATAAAATATTTTATTTTAAAAGAAAAAAATAGTAAAAAGAAATAAAAGGTGAAGATAAAGAAAGAAAATGCAAAAATAAAAAGTTGAAATATAAGAGATAAAACTTAAAAATAAAAAACAAGTTAATTGATAAGATATTACATAAAGATGTTATTAGAGTTAAATTTCACCTATTCACTCCACGTACAAATTATTTAGAATAAAACTATCGTGTAAATTTTAATTATACGATAGACTCGTTAAATCATTCAAATATTAATTATGTGAGCAAATGAATCTCTTACAAAGTATAATCTTTAATAGTATAAGAACTAATACAATCGTTAAGTATATAAAATAACAATATAATTAAAAAATAATAAAATTTAAAATAAAATATTTACTTGAGTTTGGATCTCATTACGTACAAAGTAAAAATAAAAACTGGGTTCCTTCTATAAAGTATTTTCATAAATGGAAGCTATTACAAAAACTATGGGTGACGTGGATATGACCTATAATAAGGGTTAGAAGCAAGAGAAGCAAATGAAACTCTTCAACATGTATTGTTGGTTGATCAAATTGTGTTTTAGATTAATCAATTAATGAAATTTAGTTTGGTTTTATTGCAAGTTGTAATAAGGGCCCAATTGAAATTTAGTTATCAGTCTTTGGGAGACCAAGTGCATAGCTGATTGACTTTTGGTTGCAACAATTTCAGTTACAATCAATCATTAAGTAGTTTTCAATTCTTAGGTTAATAAATCATTATTAGCATTTATTTTTCTTTAATGAATATTTGTAATTGTGATGGCAAAACTTTTTATAAGCTGAATAATTTCTATCAGAAATAACAAGTTGAGTTTTATTTTTAGAAATATTAGAATTTATCTCTTTTATCTTAGTGAGAGTGATTCTCACAAGTTCTTGAGTGATTCAATAATATTTAGTCTGTATCGGAAGACTTTCACATCCTTTGTGAGTTGTCTTTCTTGGAAAGAGTGATTCTTTCCTTCCATCTTATTACTAAATTCCTAAATTTCCTACAAGATTCTAACCTTAAAGATCCTAAATTATCCCTTGTGATTCATATCAATGGGTAAGAAATGCATAGTATTAGAAATGGGTAAGAAAACCTTACACTCGTGATCTCATACATTAAAAGATCAAGTAGTAAGTAAGAGAGTTTATGATGAGTTAATTTGTAGTATGAAAAAAAATTTATATCTTGCTAAGTCATTTAGAAATTTATCTTGATAACATGTAAGTATATATATATATATATATATATATATATATATATATATATATATATATATATATATATTGAATTGAGCATTCTTGTGTTATGTATTTGAAGGAGATGTGGTGTAACAAGTTGTCTGATGTCTATTTTAATATCTAGTTTTTGAAAATTATTTAGTATTTATGTGATTTTAATATCTAGTTTTTGAAAATTGTTTATTTATGTGATATGCATGTGAATCTCTATATCATATCATATGATATATGAAAACCAAATTTAAACTACGGTGTATTTATCTTACATTTAAATATTATATAGTTAAATTAAATTACTAACTTATATAATTTCTCATCTTTACCATTACTCGCAATAAAAGATTTTTAAATGATAATATAATAATATTGATAATTTAAGAAAAATTATAATGTTATCTTGCTCTCTCAACATATCATCATAATTTCTATAGTTATTAACAAAAATAGAATAACATATAAATTATAAAATAATAAAAGTAAAATGAATTTAAATTATATAAATATATTCAACCATGATTATTCAATAAATACTATAATCCGCTGTTTTGAACATTAATAAACAATTCCAATAGTATGTACTTTCAAACAAAAAAAAGAAAAGAAAATTATGATATGAATATATTAAAAATTCAAAAATATTTAATTTAGTTTTATAAAATTAATTTAAATAATTTTTTGAGCATACTTCTTAACTTTCAAGAGATTTAGATCATTTTTTCAAACCTAATTAATAAAGTGAAATTTGTATAAATTTATAAATTATATTGTTATAATATTTATAAAAAAATGTAAGATTTTATCACATCGAGATTTTTTTGGAAAAAATATTTTTTCCTCTCTTTAAATACATATACTCTCATTAAATTGTTGATCTAACTAAAATAAAAGATATTTATACGTGTGTAAAGGTTTAGGTTATGTTAATTTGTAAACAAAATTCAATATAATTTTTTATAATTTATTTTAAATTTATGAATAAATAATTACGATTTTTACATATCATTTATTTTTATTTTTCAATTCTAAAAGTGTCTGTAAAATATATATTATTTTTATCTTTGTATATTTTTCAATCTTAAATACAAAATCAGGTAAAGTTATATGTTTTATAAAGTTAAAATATGTACTATTTGTTAAAAAATATGTTAGTATATATACAGAGAGAGAAAAAGAAGTGATTTTAAAAAAAAATGAAAGATGGAGATAAAATAATAAAATCATGGATACTAAATAAAAATTCTTTCATTCTATATGAATGAAAAAAGAAAATAGAAGGCTTAAAATAAAAATTTGTCTATTTGAAAGAAATAATAATAAAAAAAACAACTTTTAACACAATTTGTCACTTAAACACCACTAAATTATTGCATGACTATTTAAAATTAATAAAATATTAAATAAGTTCTTAAGATGTCAGAGAAAAAAATTAATAATATAAATAATATATTTTAAAAAATTATTAAATAAAATATCTATCAATTTATTTATCTAATTAAATATATTTATTATTCATTTTTTTATTCTCTCCTGATTTACTTTTTTTTTCTTATTTACTCTTTGTCTCTTCTCCCTACCATTTTTTTATAATTATTTTTAATTAATAATAGTATATTAAAATTTATTAAAAACATATTAAAATAACTTTTTAAAATACATATTAAATTAAAAAATAATAGTTAATTATTTAAAATTACGATAACAATAAATAATTTCATTAATAATAAATAATTAATTTAAAATATTTCATCATAATAAATTATTTATTTATTTAATAAAAATATAAAATATTTAATGTTATTTTATTTAATAACTTAATTTAATTATAATTAGATTAAGTTATAGTAAATAATTAGATTAAATAATTTAAAAAATTCTTTAAGATAAATATTTGATTACTTGATTTTAAAAAATATTTTAATATATTTTTATCAAATTTTAATATAATATTTTTAATTAAAAAATAAGATAAAGTAAAAGAAGAGAAAATATTAAAAGATGAAATAAAAAGAAAAATAAATAAATAAATAAACCAAAAGAGAGAATAAAAATAAAAAATAAGTGAAGAGAGAAAATAAAAAACTTCCTAAGAGAATTTTACCCTCTTAAAAAAATTAATGGATATAAACATTAAATATACTAATTAAGTAAATAAATTAATAATATTTTTATTTGAATAATTTTTATTTTAAAATGTATTATTTGTTATATTAATTAATTAAAAAATATTCAAAATTAAATTATTAAATAATTAATGTTATTTTAATCCTTAAATGTACGATAGTTTAATCAATTTTTTCAGAATTTTTTTTCAAAGCCTATTATTTTTAATTTTAGTCAATTAAAGGATTAATATGACATTTGCTTTTTCATTAAAATAAACTACGATTTTTTTATCATTGTTTTTAGAACTCATTTTTATAGGTTAATTATTTGTTATGTGTTTATTTGTACAAATTTTTGTGTTTTGTATCTCTACGTACTTTTACATTTTAGTCAATAATTGTTATATTTTAGGACTTGTTTATTTTTTTAAAAATAAATTTTAATTTTTTATTTTAAAAAAATTAAGTTTTATTTTTATTTTTTTAATATTATTTTATTAAAAAATGTTTAATATATATATATTATCTAATTTAAAATTTCATTAATAATTATATTACATTATTTATCTTTATCGATTCTTATCATAAAATTACTAAAATTAGTTTTATTTTTTATGATAATTTTTTATTGTTATCAATATCATAAATTTTTATTTAAAATAAAATTTTAAATTATAATTATCATATAATTTTTTTCTCAATTTATTTCTATAAATAATTTTATAAAAGTAATCTCTAAAACTATATATAAAATGTAAAAGATTAAATTAAATTAAAAACTAAAAATTAAATTTGATTTGTTATGTACGTAAGTTTTCAACAACATATGGGTAATTTCGTTTTCGAAGTTTTATGGATAATTTTATTAAATGTATTTATCAAATTGATCATTATGTCAAAAAGAAATAAAAAGATTGATGGTAATAATTAAAATTTTGAAAAAAAAATAAAAATGGAAATCATTCTTCCCGTTTACGACAACGGGGAAGCGAGCGAAAGATGAAATCTATAAATTCCTGACCCAAGCTAAACTGGAAAGGTTTATTTGATTTGGTTCCGTTCCATCTCCTATCATAACTACGTATCGAAATTCATAACTCGTCATCACTCTCATTTGCACGGTGCTTATAGATCCAGCGCCAGAAGGTTTACATTATGTTCTTCTCTATTGCAATTTTTGTTCGTTCCTAGTGATTTCGTCTCGCTTTAGTTTACGTGAGTGTGATCATTTCTTCGTTTTGTGCTTGTTTTGTTGAAAGAGATCCATCTATACGTAACCTTGTCTGCGTGTTTGGGAATGCAGCTATCTCGACAGGATCAGGATGCCTCTATCATTAATTTTTTAGGCTTCATAAAATCTGAGTCGTTGTTGATTAGATTTTGATTCAACCGCATGGAATGTCTTATGTCTATGTGTTTGGTTGTTCAGCTTTAGATTCTTTGTCACGAGATTCGACAGCGTTAATTCTAAATGTCACGAAACCGAGAGAATTCCTTTGACGTGATTGTGTTATTTGCTACTTTTTTTCCATTGGGATGATAAACAATAAATTCTCAAGGCGGTGTTCTAAGGGTTTGTGATGTGAATTATGTGATTCTGTCTGGAACATTGGCAAGTGATGAGAATAAGAAAGAACAATGAAATAATAACCTTCTCCATTATAAACTTATAAATGTTTTAAAAACCAACTTGTGGAGAATATAATTAAATATCTACTGCAAATTAACTTGTCTAAAAGTTAATTTTAGCTTTTTGGAAAAACTAATTTTACTTTTCTTCCTATAAGTGCACGACTTTAACCTGTCCAATAGTTGAACTTTTATGCATGAGTTTACCGTTGAATCTTTAAATTACGGCCATTGCTGTTGGTACTTTTCATGTAATAGACTTGAACTTGATCATCTGTAGTATTTACTTTATCTGTCAAGTGTCAATGTGAAAGTAAAAGGTGTTGGTATTGGAGAATATATAGGTGGATTTTTTTTTTAATAATAATTTAGTGAGTTAAGTGATTTTCATTTATGGTCAATAACTCAATGTATCCGATTTCAAAAGCCCTACACAAGGGTTGATTCTAGGCCTGTGGGATTTTTGGCCGTACAGGCTTTTGATTTTGCAAGCGTTTTGGCCATGACGGGTATAAAAGCCAGGGGTGTTCATATTGACAACTATAATTGTATGCTTGACATTGGGATCTGATTGCTGGTGGCTGCTAACAACATCATGGATTTTATTTTTTGGCAGATTCAATTTGACACTGGAAGCACTTTCTCATTTCAAAGATAAAGTGAAAAGATGGTAACACTTCTTGCCACCTTACGAGTCTCCTACTTAAATATTTCAGGACTTATTTATTGATTGATTGACTATTTAATACTAATTATTTGATCTTGCTTTAACTAATTTTTTTTTAATTATCACTTTTTTTCACTTCTTAGACGATATTCACATTGTAGCTAGCTACTCCAATTTGTTATACGTATCAATTTTTAAACCATGATCTAAAATTACAGCCTGAAGGAGCCTCCTAATATATTTTGATCTGCTTTGAAATTGAAATCTTGTATAAATATTTTCCCTCCTTCCTGTGGTAATATTCTAGCTTGAATTTGCTTCAAGATTACTGATAATTTTGGATCTTCTATGTTTGTTGTTTTTCTTCATTTCATCTCAATTCTAGCTACATTGCGTTGAATGTTTAATGTAATCCTAAATTAGTGGTGGCCTTGACTGTCCGAGAAATTTGTGTGCCAAATACCAATTGGTTTTAGATTTAGACAGACGTCACAGGCATGGAAAAAGTATAGATTTTGTACAAAGGAAAAGTGGAATTCAGATGGAGGGAGAACGGTATTGTCGCATTTGATCTGTTCTTGACGTCCTCTATGCTACATTAAATTTTTGTATTTACTTGTTGAACAGGTTGTCCTTGCCGCATCCATTGTGAGCAAAACTGGAAAAGGTGAGTTCTCCGTGGCCCTCTACCCGAGTCCCTGACCTTTTCCCTTGAAAGAATAGTTGACTTCTTCCTTTTTAGTAATCTGAACCTTAAACACTGCCTATATGGTTTTAGGAAATATAAGATATAAGTTCCAAGTGGGGTAGTTGCTTTCCATCAGTATATACATTACTTTGTTAGTGGGGGAATTTACTGTCAAAACTATATCTTTTGATTTGGTTTGTGGCTCCTGATGTTGAGATAACCAAGTAATTGATATATGTTGTATAGTCATATTGTTAAAACTGTGATACTTGATCCATATTTCTTAGTCTCTGTTTTCCTGTATCTGTACAATCTATCTTCCCGTTACTCTTTGTCAGCAACATAGGCTATGGAGTTATGAAATCCTTTCCTACTTCAATAACTCAATCTGTTAGCTGTGTATGATTCTCAAATTTTATATCTTACCAATGGCCCATTACTTAATTTTGTCAAATTCAAGATTAATTTTTATTTTGTATGGCGAAACTCAATTTGAATCGCTTTTAGTGTCGAATTTGGTGGTACCTAAACAGAATGAATTCAACATCTATGCTTTTATACCAACAAACCTTTTGCGTTGTTTGCAGTGCTAGTTTCTAGACAGTTTGTGGACATGTCTCGTATCAGAATTGAGGGTCTTTTAGCAGCATTTCCCAAGTTGGTAGGAACTGGAAAGCAGCACACGTATTTCGAGACGGAGAATGTACGCTATGTTTACCAGCCAATAGAAGCACTGTACCTGCTTCTTGTAACAAACAAAAATAGCAACATACTGGAAGATTTGACAACTCTGAGACTTCTCTCTAAAATTGTATCCTTTTCTGATGCTTTATGTTTAATGTATTATGTTATTAACTCAATTTCTTTTCAATTGCTTGGTTTTTTATTTTACTTGGTGAGACTTGCTGCCCTGAATCTGAAATTTGTTCTGGCCTTATCTACTCTCTTTTTTTTTTTCTTTTAGTTTTGAAGGTACAATCATTCAACGTAAGTTTTTCTTATACATGGCATTTACTAAATTGATTTTTATAGGAAGGTTCAGGAGGGTTTAGGGTTGATCAATTTTTGGTTTGTCCTGGAAATTTATTTTTGTTTTGTTGGTCAGTTTTTAGAGCCATTTAATTAATTTATTTTTTTTGCCAAAATATCGTGCTTATATTTATAATTAGTCCATTCCTTAATACTTTTAGGTGCCTGAATATTCGTACACCCTTGATGAAGAGGGTATTTGCGAACATGCATTTGAGTTGATTTTTGCATTTGATGAAATCATCTCTCTTGGGCACAAGGAAAATGTGACTGTTGCACAAGTTAAGCAATACTGTGAGATGGAGAGTCATGAAGAGAAACTGCACAAACTAGTTATGCAGAGCAAAATCAATGAAACTAAGGATGTTATGAAGCGGAAAGCTAGTGAGATTGATAAAAGCAAGGTATGATTGGAGGGGCTGTGTTACATTGTTTTACATTCATAAATTCTGGGAGTGACATTATTTATTCAGATTTATGCATGTTTTCTACAGATTGAAAAAAACAAAGGTGATAAAGGGGGATTTGGTCCTTTACAATCACTGGGCTCTGGAAAAATGGAAAATAGCTTTAGTGATTTGAGCATATCTATCAGCGGAACTGCTTTTGGAAGTGGCTCTGGTTTCGGATTGAGTTCTGATGTTGATTCCTTTCCTACTAAGACTAAAGGTTTGGTTTCATGTATTTTCTTGAAATCTTATAGAAAGCTTATAAATCTAATGACGGAAAAGGGCATTGAAACATGTCGCATTCTGGCTGTGGTTTATTCTATGTTCAAATTAACATGTTGCCAAATGAAGAGTAGCCTTCTCATTCATGTACTTGTGTATCATTTCCTTCCTTAGGTCGTCCTACTTCATCAGCTACTGCTGCACCAAAAGGTCTTGGAATGAAGCTTGGTAAATCCCAAAGGACAAACCAGTTTTTGGAATCATTAAAAGCAGAAGGTGAGGTCATTCTTGAAGATGTTCAGCCAAAACATAGCCTGTCTCAGGCAGCTGCCCCACCACCTACGGATCCCATCACTTTATCTGTTGAAGAGAAACTAAGTGTGACACTAAAACGAGATGGTGGAATCAGTAATTTTGATGTGCAAGGCACATTGTCTCTCCAAATTCTCAACAAAGAGAATGGACTTATTCAAGTTCAGGTGTCACATTCTCACTATCTCTTTCTACCTTGATGTGTCTCCACTGACCTTCTGGTTTTCATAACTAGAGTAGTCTTTGTTGAATAATCAATTTCTTTGTTTTGTTAAACGAACAATGACACTTTTTACATGAAATCTCACCAGCATTAGGTGAAAGAAGTTTGTATGAAGCATTTTATTTTCTACAAGAACGATGACCAGAGCCTTTGCAACTACGTGGGATCAGTTGCATCGATCAAATGACTCTTTGTGTTATGTCAAAATATTTCCTTAGCGGGGCCATTTAGTTCTATAAAACAGTTTTTTTTTTCTCTGCTTAATCATTTTCCCTAATGTTTCCTTTATTCTCTCATATACTTTCTCACAGTTTGCATCCTCGTTGGTGATATTGTGGACTAGTTTCAAATAGATAATGTTTAAAAACCAGCCTGTGTTCAAGGTTCAAGACTCAAATAAGTCAATTATATGTTTTAGCCGGATATTTTATTTGAGGTGTAGATGTTAGCAGCTACGCCTTAGTAACGTGAAAGAAAAATCTCTTTTCATGAACTACCATTAACTAATACAGTTGGATGACAAGATATCTGTTTTGGTCTTCTTGCTCACAGTTCTGAATGAAGCATGATGACATCATGACAAAGAATGTCAAAAATAAAAGGGAGGAAGGAAAAAAAAAGGGATGGGATGGAATAAAATTCAGTTAGGCACAAAGGATGAAATGAAGAGGAAGATAAGGGTGGTTAAAATTCCCGTAGGGTGGTATTAATGCTGGTTCCATAGTTTGATTGGCATTAAGTACTCTGTGCTTTGGATATGTTATGTATTGTTAGGGTTTTGAAAAATATTTTGTCAGCATGAATAAGAATTGCCTTTTATTAATAAAAAAGTATTTTTATATTTGACACTCAAATTTCAATATTCAATTTGATATATTTTCTGTTTGCTCAGTTTTATTTGTTTTGTTTCTTCCTGCAGTTTTTCATATGTTTTAGTGCCCTTCGGTTTGGTTTCTTTCTTGAGACTGGAGGACAATTAAAATTATTGACACTTGCACACTGTTGCCTTGTTTTTACAGGTCCGAACTGGTGAGAATCAGGCAATCATTTTCAAGACACACCCTAACATGAATAAAGAATTATTTACCAAAGAAAATATACTAGGACTAAAGGATCCCAGTAGACCTTTCCCCACTGGTCAAACTGGTGGTTCTGAAGGTGTTGGTCTTTTAAAGTGGAGAATGCAAAGCACTGATGAATCAATGGTGCCGCTGACAAGTGGGTTTACAACTATTGTTCATATGGTCCACTACTTTGTATTTGTATTGACGCATTAATAACTTACAATGCCTATTGCAGTCAACTGCTGGCCCTCTTCTTCTGGAAACAATACTTATGTCAGCATCGAGTACGAGGCTTCCTCAATGTTTGATTTGCGGAATGTTGTGATCTCAGTACCTCTTCCATCTCTTCGAGAAGCACCATCTGTTAACCAGATTGATGGGGAATGGAGGTGTGGGATTTGTTTCTCTCTGAATAAATGTTAGGGCCATGGTTTTTGTGTTTTAGATTGGAATTTGCTGTAAATGACCTGATTTATATTAAAATTGACCTGTGTTATTTAATGGTTGGCAATCTTTGAAACGCTGACGGTATTTGGATGTTAGAAAGGTCCACAGAATTATGATGCTCCCTCCCCTCCCAAGATCATCAGATGACTTGTCATATATGTTATTTATGTTGTGAAATAATTTTTTTTCACGTTTCTTCCTCCTTTCTCTCTCATAATCCCTTGTAAATTGGTTTTGCAGGTATGACTCTAGGAATTCCTTTTTGGAGTGGTCTGTCTTGCTGATTGATAATTCAAACCGCAGGTACGTTGAATTCGGGTGATCTTTTTAAGAGTTGAAATGCAGTGTTTATTATCGTGAAATTTTTGGACTAGTTTTGTCTGACTAAACATATTTGTCAGTGGGTCAATGGAATTTGTTGTTCCACAAGCCGATTCATCAGCATTCTTCCCCATTTCAGTTCGTTTTATGGCAACAGATACATTTAGCGACCTGAAGGTTTGTTTGGATTCTCAGTTTTTTAATTCTTTTATTTTTTTTGGCATTTAACTCAAAATTATGGTGATGGATGTACAGTACTATTTAAATTAGGAGTAAAAAGTTTAAACTGACACATTTATTGTCCTGGAGCTTTGTTTGCTGGGAACACTTATATCATTTAATTCAATTCATTTAACATCATCAACAATAATGGATTATATTTGACATACCATGTCTGAATATTGATTGAATGGGCGCTTAAACTTATGCATTCACTTCTCTTTGTAGGTCACCAACACCATACCGCTAAAGGGTGGTAATCCTCCTAAATATTCTCAGAGGACACAGTTGATCACAGAAAACTACCTAGTTGTGTGACTGATTTTCACCCTCTTGAGGCTCAGCTATCACAGTTTTGCTTTTACCATTGAAATTCTTTATCAAAGAATTTTTCTACACATCTTTGCATCATTTATTAAATTCGATAATTCATAATTTAGTTTTACTGTGCAAGCATAGTGCGAAAGGAATAAATTTTCACAATGTGAAACATGGGAATTTCTTTTTACTGCATAGCTTATATATTTTATGCAGAGGGATTCGTTTCCCATTTCTCTGCCCGCTGAATTTGATATTGGAATATTAGGAAGGGAATTGGAATTACTGATGGCTAAACGGAAATAAATCGCTACTGTAAATAGATTGTTACTTTTGATGTGAAGAGTGAGTGAAATAAAACGAAACTGTGCAAGAATCCTAAATGGGTATTGTGATGTTTAATGCCTAGTCTGCAAGAAATCATGTAAAAAACCATTAGTGCGGGTGCAATTACAAATATTGACCTCATTAAATGACTATTAATTTTGATTTTGATGCTTTACAAAATAAAGATTTTTATACTCTCAAGTAATTTAAAATATTATATCTAATTTTAAGTAAAAAAATTATAAGAGAATAAAATAAATAATTAAAATCAGATAATTGTTTTTTTATAATAAAAAAATCATTTTATTTTATATTACAAGTTCTTTTAGAGTTCTTTATTTAAATGGGTCTTGTACATGATTTTCAAAGTAGTTATTATAAAAAATAATAATCTTATGCTATTTGTCAATTTATAATTGAATGATAGGGTAATTTTTATACTATCTTTTCATTTATATTAAATTTTAACTAGTAAATATTTAAATTAAATGGCTACTATTTGAGTCTTGTGAGTAAGGAAAAAAAAGATTTGTGTTCACAAATGTGTAGCTTTATTGTGTTTTCAGGCTAATACTAACAGATTCTTACACACACTCTTTTTTTAAATATTAGTTTCGGAACTATAAAATAAAACAATTTTGTACTTTATAATTGGTTTTTAAGTCAATGATAAAAAGTATTCTAATAATAAAATATTTTAGAGAATATATTACTGAAAATTCTCTTTCACACAAACCCAGCTCGTATTTGATTTGAATAACAAAGAGACCAAGATCACGCACCGTACAAATCACAAGTATAATAGGGAAAAATTCTGCCCTGTATCTTGGGCTGTATATTTCCTTCAACCAAGTTTGTTTTCGTTAATGGACCAAGAAGAAAAAAAAAGTTATATAAGCTGAGATCTTGCTTCTAATACAACCTTATTACACTTTGTACCTCAAATTAAATATCTAAAATATCATTTTTATAATTTTGTTTTTTATCCTAACTTTTTATTTATTTATATAACTTCTGCACCTCCTTCCTTTAATCTTCTATCTTTTGATTATTTAATTTTTTTTACTATCATTTCATTAAATGTTTTTTATAACAATTAAAAATAAGTAATCCTTAATATTATGTATTAATATTATGTATGAATTATTTATTCTTGTACTCAAATTATACAATTATACCTAAATTATTCAATCTAAAATAATATTGTAAAAATAAAATAAAATTCTAAACACTCAATCTATAAATACATTTTGAAACACTTAATTTAAAATTACATTTTTAAAATAATATTTTCAAAAACACATTTTGAATTGGTTTTTTTAAAAGCGCATTTTAAATTAATTTTTCTGAAAATCTATTTTAGATTGAATATTTCAAAATGTGTATTTGAAAATATCAATCTAAGATATATTCTAAAAATAAAGATAAATATAAGAATAAAATAAATTTAATTCAATTATGGAGGGGCATCAAACAACATCCTAATAGTTGTTACCCTTAGCAATAACACTGAGAAAATGGATCAACGAACATCGACTTAAATTGGCCCACTTCAATATAAAAAGGTTAAATTAAGTTAAGTACTAAAATGGGTCAACGTACATTGACTTAACTTAGCCCACTTTCAATATAAAAAAGATTAAATTAAGATAAGCACTTTTAAAAGTAGATTTGCAATTACAACCCAATCTCTTTTTTTATGGCTTGAAAGACAAACCTAATAACTTAGTTAAAAGAAAGGAGATTGGAGAAAAAAAAAAAAAAATATATATATATATATATATATATATATATATATATAGAACATTACATAGAGTGGAATTGTCTCTTAGATATTGAAAAATACTGAATTGAAGAATAAAAAAAAGTTTTTATCATAATTTTTAACGTGGTTTCTATCAAACCTTTTTTATTCATTGATCTATTAAAAAATTGTTGTTAAGACAGTGATTAAGAAGAACTTTATATCATCTTCAGTGTTTGTTTTTTAAAGGCACAAGACAAGTGGAATAAAGCTGATTGTGGAGAGATCAAAGGTATTTTGGACTCTACAAATTCCTAGTAACTGGAAAAGACGCTACAAACACTACAAAGTTATATAGCCTTTTTCTTTTTCTATTTTAACCACCAAATGAAATTGGACAACCTCATTTCACATTCATTCAATTCGCATTATAAAAAAAGAGAGAGATACATACCCTTTTTGGTGATTAGGGTATTTCTTTTCACTACTAAGGAAATAGATTAATTATATTATTAGTTCGTAAAGTTTAAAATAATTTTGATTTTGGTCTTTACATTAAAACAAATTAACAGTGGAAAATATATTTTAATTATTAAACAATAAATTTAAATAATATTTGTTAGTGTTTTAATTTCTAGAAATTTAATATTTATGAACTAAAGTTATACTTTATTCCATTTTAAGGATTAAAATGTTTTTTTTAATTTGAGAAATTAAAATACTATTTACCCAAAATTTCAAAGATTATAATATAATTAAACCAAAATAAATCTTTTACAATTGCTACATTAACAAGTTATTTTTTTGAAAAAAATAGATATAAAAAAACTTGTTTAAAAAAATGGTCTAACATAGGTGTAAAAATGTTTTTTTAATATTAATTTTTAAATAGGGTTTAAAAAAATTTAAATAATTGATTTAAAAAGTATTTTTTTTATAGTGCTTCTCTTTTTCTTTTGGAGAGAACCCTAGAAACCATTTTTAGGTTTTGATTCTTCAATTTACTTGGTGATGGAGACATATTTCCATATTTGTATCCCTATTCTATTGTGCGCGCTATGTGCACCCACTTCAAAAGAAAAAGTTTTATAAAACAATGAATGACATCAAAATGCTTTTAATGTTGCCCTTTATGGTGAGTAAGAAAAGTGAAAGATTATAATAATCTCTATTAGCTTTAATGTAATCCACAATTTTAATTAAGAGATGATGAGAGAGAAAAATGGTGAGAGTGTCATCATAATATATAATTAGGGATACAGCCCCAATAAAATAAGGATATTTAAAGTTAACTTTAAAGACTAACAAAGAAAAAGAGTACTATAAAAGCTATATTTATTCTTAATCTAGTTTAAAGTGTGTCATAATTTCATTTCAATGAAATCAAGAGTGAATATTGTTACTTAATTCAAAATTAATCACACTTAAAAGAAAAAGGGTTTTTTCTTTTCCTTATTAAAATTTGTCCAATGATTTTTTTTTTTTCGAGGAAAACTAAAACCCCCATAAACCTCTTAGAAGTAACTTTTTATACTATATAACACCATTGTGTGAGACACTTTTTTCTTTTTGATTTAACATATATATTATAATTTTTAAAACAACATTTAGAATGATTTTTACCTACTGACCATAATTTGTTTCTTTAAGAGTGTATAAATCTCAATGGTGTCTTTTTTAGTTTCACTTTTTCCTAAATAAATATCTAAAAACAGAAAAAAAAAAAAGCTCTAAACCAATTTTTCATGAAAAAAAGAAAAAGAAGAGGATGTTTTTAGTTGTTAGTGTTATAATGCCAAGTGATTAAGAATTTGAGAACTTGTTTAAAAATTAAATCTTTTTGAAGAAAAAGGAAACTTTATTTTTTTTTTAAGTTGAGAGGTACATGTTCACTATTTATTTTAGTTTCAATGAAAAAAAGAGAGTCTAAATCACCTTTATTAATATTGAATTTTAATTTGATTATCAAAAGGAACCACATTTTCTTTGGCACGTGAAATAAAATAAAAAAACATATTTTCATATAACCTAAACATCATACAACAATTATTGTATGGTTCAGTTTTTTATTAGGGGAATAGTGCATGTTATCTTTAGGAAATTAACAAATTGTTGATGCAATCAAAATAAACTCCTACACATGCTTTGAAATAAAAAAGGCTAATAAATTAACTTCCCTAACATGCAATCTAATGCATGCAACATGCAACGTAAAAATGTTACGTAAAACAGAGACTGTATATTTATTGAAAATGGTTGCTGTTTATATATACATCAGCGAGTCATGCATAACAGAAAAACAAAATATTATTTTTCTAACTTTGACTTAATACCCCAACATGCCTCCTTAAGTCAAAGTTGTATTTATATTAACAACTCCAACCGCATCTCTCAACCAAATGAATCTCTCAGCTTTAAAGGCTTTAGTAAAAAGATCTGCAAGTTGAATTTCTGACTTGCAATATTCAATAACAAGTTTTTCATTGCACACTTGATCACGAATGTAATGAAAACGTGTCTCGATATGTTTACTCCGCCCATGTGAAGCTGGATGCTTGGCTAAATCTATAGCAGATTTATTATCTACTAAAAGCTTCACCTTACATGACAGCTCCACCTTCAATTCTTGCAAAACTGCTTTCAACCAAACTGCCTGACACGAAGCTTCTGATGCAGAAATGTATTCTGCTTCACATGAGGACAAAGCCACTACAGATTCCTTAGTTGAGTTCCACGAAATTGGAGCTCCTCCTAAGAAGAAAACATACCCTGCAGTGCTTTTCCTATCTCCTTTATCACCACACCAATCTGAGTCTGAATACCCCATCAATTCCACTACTGTAGTTGCTGTTTCAGGTTTTGGAAATAAAATTCCGTAGCCCACTGTACCACGAAGATACCTCAGAATTCTTTTAGCTGCATACATGTG